AAGTGCATCGCTAGTAGTAACAAGTGCCTTACTAGTAGTAACAAGAATAATTTAACTATAATTGGGAAGCCTCTCAGCCACGTGTCTGCCGTTTTTCCCACCTCTCCAGCAGTGGCTAGGCTAGCCGCTCGACGATCTTCGGCCAAGATCGCCACTGCCCAGGTGATGATGAGAGGCCGCCCTTGTCGGATTGTGGAAGCAGCCCATTCTGCGCCCGGCAAGCATGGCCATGCGAAGGTTCACATGGTTGGCCTAGTGCCTTTGGCCTAAAGAGAGGTCGCATTTGGGACACCCTTCTTGTTTCAGATGTGCAAGTCAGTAGATCCAGAAATAGATACTGATACGTGCGACATCTTGCCACGATTAACACTCTTGGCAGATCTTGGCAGAAAGGGGGCCTCAAGATGTCCGCCCCCCCCCTGGTCAGCTTGCCTTGGTTGGTTCCTTTGCCTCTTCATGTGAACTCAGGACCTCTTTACGGGGAAGAAGTATGAAGAGATCCACCAAGCAGGCCAAAACGTGGAGGCTGTGGCCTATGCATGGCTTTCTGCCGGTTTGTCGCGTTCGTCCGACGTAAAAGCGCCAACGGTTGTGGTGCCCTTCCTTGGAACGGTCGTAGCGGATCTAGGTCCCCGTCAGGAAGGACTTCGGAAGGAAAGTGCCTTCAGTATTTCAGTTGAGCGGTTTGAGGATGTCGCCCAAGTGGTCCAAGTGGTCCATGCTGCCCTTGGTGCTCTGTGCAGTCTAACACGAGGCGTATCACCTGATCACCTGACGGTGACCAGGTGCCCGTGGTCACCAAGACGGAGTATCTCCTGGTGAACCTGAACGAGGAGACCGGCGCCCGGGGACTCAGCAGGTCCTGACTCTGAAACTAAGAGAATAGATGCAAGAGCCGAAGCTACTGAAGGCATCTGAAGCTGGAAAGAACCTAATTAACTTGAGCCAAGTCAGTCATTATCCAAGTCGGCACACCCAAGTCGCTTTCACATGATAGGCTCTCCCTTGGTCTCTTTTGCGGTGTTTGGCCTTTGGATCCGGTGAGAGCCTGGTTTTTCAAAAGGTCGTGGAAAAACTCTGGAGCATTTCCGAGACTCCATGGGTATATATGCCGATCAGTTGGGGTGGTTTGAGGGGTTAATTGATCGGCATATATGGCATGCATGGAGTGTTTGGAGCATTTGTGGCTTTGAAGCCGAGTTCTTCGATCACTCTCGCCTTCCATGGCACTTCTGTCCATCGTTGGACGAACCGGGCACAAACTTAGACTTAGACCACCGGGCATCCTTGGACGTTTGGTGCCTGAAGCCTCAAAGGGGGACAGAACTTTTAACAGGTTTCGGATCTAGGACAAACACAGGGCCCTGAAAATCCCCCGACCAGGGACGGCAAGCAAAAAGAAAGGGCAGGAGCCGGACGGCAGGCCCCTAACATGGGCCTTCCGAAGCTGCCAGCCCGAGGCAGTTTGGCGCTCAGAGGGTTGGCGGTGGTTTGTTCCGCCGTGGCCTAGGAAGTGAGCCTCCTTCAAGACAATGGCGAGCTGAAGGTCGATCTCAACTTGCCCGCGCATCGGCACAAGATGCTTGGCGGGAAGGTCGCGGCAGAGGGTCGCGGCGACATATCCCACAGTTCTTCTTTTCCAGGCGGTTGAGCCAGTGCCCGGGAGTTTGGCATGAGCATCAAGAGCTGCTCCAACTGAATCTTCTTCTCCTTGGCGGTCGATGTGTGCTTCCACCTTGCATGCGGGTTCTCACCATGTCACCATGAGCATCCATGTGCCGTGTATGCATTGCGATGACGATCGGGTAAATCTGGGGATCACCGACCTCTGAGGACTTCGGAGGATGACGTCAAGGTTGAGGCGCGGCTTGAAGGAAGTCGGGGCAGATGGGACACGCGTGGCATGTTGGTTGAGAGATCGAGGTTTTGGGGCGCGTGAGCTTTGGATTTGCTTTCAGCTGGTGCTGTGGTGCATGGAGCCGCACACGCGACAGCTTGCGACAGCCCCCCCCATCTTCGCACGCATCATAGTCTTCAATGCCCTCAAGTCAGGTTAAAACATTCTTAGTTGTTGAGGCCAAAGACCTTGACAGGGCCGAAAAGGGGAGGTAGTTGTTCTTCTTCTTTCTTCTTCATCTTCAGGCCGACATCATGAAGGCCTTCAGCAGCGATCGTTTTGTCGTGGCTTGGCGTGAAATTGACATCACGCGCCGACGGGGGACGGAGGACGATGGCGGTAGATGAACGGCTTGCCGTACTTCACAAGTGGAAATCGAAAAGACCACGGTCTGCACCAAACGCACCGAACTCCTCATCCGCAGATGTTTTGTTGTGGGTGGCCGCTCCACAATCCCCTTTTCGCCATGTTTAACTTGAGCGAGGATCGATCCAAACTTCAAGTTGAGGCATGAAACTCGGCGGTTTCGCACCAGGGAGGCGCATGGACATTGAAGCCGTCCAAGCTCGGAGCGCTCCAATCGACCCGCCTCAGAACCGCGAGAAATGCCCGGGTTTGCAGTCAGGTCACTGTCGTGGTCATGGCCGCCTGTGGCGAGGAGAAGATCGTCGGCTGCAGTGCTTCCGACTGAGCGGGCGCAGCCGATGTCGTCGCGCAGGGCCCAGGCTTTGGCCGCGCCACTTCCTCGTTGAGGTGTGGAGTATGGTGGAGTGCGGATGTACAGATGTACAGTTATGGGGCCCTGGAAAATGGAAACTCCATCCACGATACAGAGATCTCGCCTGCATGGCTGGCGTGTCTCCCCCCTTTATGACACCATGTCACATAGCTATATCGCTTACTACTTGAGCAACGTGAAGGTTCTTGTGCCTTGTGCGCCTTAAACAGTTGGCCCGAGGCCAAGGTGCAACGTGGGCACCCGTGGGTGTTACAAAATGCCATCCAGCAACCGGAGGAGCTTTGCACGTGTTTTCTTCTTGCGCCAGTAGGAAGGGCTTGTATAGGGATTTTTTGAAGGGGAGGTCGGGAGGTCAATCAAGGGCGGCACAAGGGCCTTGTAACGGCTTGTGAGTCACCTGCCGGTCGGCGAGGATCTGGAGCATCGTCCCCACTGTTTGGTCAACGTCGAGGCCTGGCCTGATGACCTGCTCATGGAGGAGAAATCAGATGAACCAAGTCAGCCAAGTCTTCCAAGTGAATGCCCAGGCAGCCTGCCTTTGGTCAGGAACGTTGAGTTGATCAGCACCGAAAACAACAACCCCAAATAATCGCAAGCAATTGCTTAGGTCACCACATTACACCCCCTCCATTGCAGAGGTCGAGCGCTCCGTAGCAAAGGTCCGGACCCTCAAAACATCTCAGAACGCCTCTACTTGATGGTATTCTTCATATAAAACCAGAGAATCCAGAAGCAGATGGAAGATAGTGAGTGATAAAGCCCTTTCTTTTTAAAGGGCCGGATTCTTTAGGTTGGTGGATTTTTTTCCTCGGACGCCTATCTTTTGAAATGATTCTTCGCTGATCGTCACTCCGACTGTCGACTCCCAGCCCGACTGCTGACTCGCCAGGCCTCCGACGGAGAAGTCTTGGGCGTGGCGCTCTACAACAGGCGGGTTCACTCCATCAGGGGCGATAGGTGAGGGGCGAAGGATGGAGGGGCGGGCGGAGGCCGCCAGCGCGGCCTGGGAGGACGGCTGTTGGAGCTGCGGCCGGGGATTGTTTGGCAGACAGACTTCCTCGGATCATGTAGTGGTGCCTCCCGGGCGGCCTAAATTGGTTGCCGCGAAGCGTTAGTTTTCAGCGAAGCCTTTGGATGTTTGGGAACACTGATGGCCGAATGACCCTTCTCATCCATTCCCAACGTCCAGGGTTTTCAAGGCGTTGCCTCAGGTGGGGCGTGTTTCTCGGGGTGTGGTGAGGTGATCACACCGATCCCCCAAGCGGACCAACTTCTGATCATCCTCGATTCTCTGAAAAGCGATCTTCAGCTGTGGTGGTATCTACACCCTGGTGTCGACGATCCCATGATCCCTGGGTTTACCACTGGTTGGTAGAGGAGCCTACACTCGGACCCAGGGGGCCGGACAGGGTCTATGTGAGTTGTTTTCGGGAGTGTAATGGTCTCTGAGGGTCTCTTCAACTGGAGGCGCCGACCGGACCCGATGCGTGACGGGGACACCGGTTACGACGCTGTTCGCGGACGCGACCGCGGGCGCGGCCTGGTGAGGAACAGCTCCATTGCTCTGAGGATCCTGAGCAGGACCGCCTATGTGCCTTGGAAGTGTGAGTGAGATGTTCGATCTTTTTGATGGAAGAAGCTCCATGGGTGAGGATTCAGTGAGGATGGTGAGGATTCAGTGAGGATGGACTCCAAGTTGCCGGACTCAAAGTGAGGGTGATCTCGACATGTCACACTTTTTTCTATCCATCCACCTGTCAGATTGCAACACCCGAGTTGCTTGGGGACGTCTGGTCAGGTGCGGGTAGATGCTGGTTTCTTCGCCCAGCGTCTTTCAGCCGCCCTGCAGTACCGGGAGAGGCACCAGGGAGATGGCTTCTTGTTACTAGTAGTAAGGTACTTGTTACTAGAAGCGATGCACTTGTTCCTAGTAGCTTCTTGTTACTACTAGTAAGGCACTTGTTACTAGAAGCGATGCACTTGTTCCTAGTAGCTTCTTGTTACTACTAGTAAGGCACTTGTTCCTAGTAGCTTCAGTTTGTCTTCTTTCTCACTCGCGTCACTCGCGTCAAGTCGATGCTGGTGCCAAGTCGATGCGCAAAGTCCGTGCTTCCGCGCCCTGCCGCGTTGGCTCCAAACCGACCGCGAGCGGCGCGCGCGAGCTGCGCGCACGGGCGCGGGGCGCCATGTCCCGTTCGGGCGCTCTGCGTGCCCTGCTGCGGCGATCGCTTGGAGTTGTGGCGCCGGTCGGGGCCGCCGGGGGCGCATGGCTTTGGGCCAGGCCAGTGACTTGGCTCTTGCGAAAAGGCTTTGGGACATTGGATTTCATATGATTTCATACATCGTTTCGGCTTCTTCTCAGATTTCTTTCAGCATGGAGTAGCACCAATCTTTGCTTCAGGATTCCAACAGATTTCCCTCCGAAGCCAGCAGCCACGCCGAGGAGTGCGGCTGCAAGGCTGCGCCGCGCAAACGGGTGGCCATCTACGGAGGGACCTTCGATCCGCCCACGAACTCGCACATGACGTGTGCCGGCGAGAAACCCGGGCAGCAATGTGGAGCCCATACATGTGGAAGAAACAGGGCTGGAGCTGCAGTACCCGGCAGTATGCCCCGCTTAATTTTGAATTTAAGCTGAACTGATGATGTGAGTTCTGGAGCAGGGCGATTTGTGTTTCATTTTCTCACCATCTTTGAGGGTTTCAACTCCATCAAAGGGTGTGTTCAAACACGACCCAGTTGTAGAAACATGTGTAGAAACATCCGAGAAGTCGGAAGAAGCCAAATCGACCCTGGAGTGTGTCCCAATGCAGGTTTTCCCCTCCGTTTCACTCATCTGACGTGACAGGCAACCAATGTTCACATGTCCCACCAAACGAAACGTGCCGTTTTTGTTCCCCCGCCCGCGAGTTGTGGACATGAAAGCTTCATCCTCAGGATCATCCACAGCGGCAGCGCCGATGAAGTGTGGCTCATCCCCTGTGGCCCTCGGCCGGACAAACCCCACTTGCAGACCACGCCTCTGGACCGCTACTGCATGTGCCTCTTGGGCGGCTTAAGGACGGTGCAGCACAAGTGGTGGACAGAAGGTCTAAGAGCCCAGAGGTCGGATAATGACATCTGGACCCCAGAATGATCCCACAAGCATTTCAACAATATGTATCAATTATGTATCAATATGTCAGCTATATCAATATATATCTGAATCTGATTTGGTTCTGCCATCCCTGCCATCCACCCCCTTCACCTCACCGACCTCACCTATCCACCCACCTATCCCCCTCACCTCCCCTTCTCAGCTCCCCTTCACTGGTCACACCGTGGAGACCCCTCCACCCCACCCCGCCCCGCTCACATGGGGATTTCAGGTCAGATCGCGGTGAACAGCTCCTTCTCTCCGAGCTTCCCGGTGCAGGTGAGCGACTTGGAGACCTTCCGAGAGACCGCGTTCTACACCTATGTGCCTTTGATGCGATTACGGACATATCTCCACCAAGGGGTTGGGCCAATGGAATCACAGGGAGAAAATGGGAGAGGGGGATGATGACGTCAGGGACTACGGCGCGGGGACTACGTCGGACGTAGGGGTTTGAGAAAGGGGACATGGAGGGGATGGGGCACGTGTTGGTAGCAGATGACAAGTCATGCCGGGGCAGCACGATAAAAAACAAAATAACCAATTAGCTTTTGCGTGTTCCCCCAGCACTAGTCTTATGACACCGATGGCCCCCTCAAACGGTGTTTTTTTGTGGATGTAGACCGGGCGAGCAAAACCTGAGGACTTGCTGCAGTCCTTGCGTGAACAATACCCCGAGATCGACTTCGCCTTCGTGATTGGCAGCGATTGGCTGCAGGCGAAGAGCAACATCACCCAGTGGAGGTCGAAGAACCCCCACTGGAAGCCTGGCATGCCGGAAGAACAGAAGCTCATCGTCACCGGAGACTTGGCATGACCTGGTGGTAAAATCTTGTAAAAAGGAAGTGGGCAGCTCAAAAAGAAAGCTGGAGGAAGGTGCCATGCAAGCAGGATCTGATGGAATCACAGGCCCTCAGGTAGTTCAAAACCAGAGACAACACCTGCCAGTGGATGATGCAAATGTGCATCGGTCCCGTCTCTGACTCTCATCCCTTTTCCCTGTGGTTTTTGCAGAAGGCAGTGATCAAACTCCCATGCCGGATGTCGTGCGCTAGGGTGTGCAGACGTAGATATGGAAGACACATTGAAAGTCAGTCTAGTCATGATATTCAGCGCCAGAAAAACGCAGGGAACAGGATGCAATTAGTCCTCCAGCCTTCAGGCGATCAGCTGCTAAAGGACTTCGACTTCCTGGTTATTCCCAGGCACGATGCGAGTACAAAGGGCACCAATTCGGCACATTTCGCCCACCAGTCCGTAGCCGGTCGTCCGGGTTTTTCATCAGTGACCGTTCGCATCCCATTCCACCATCAACCCCGAGCTTGCTCGCTCAAGAGCTCAGTTCTGCTGCCGCTCCGGCTTCCCGCAGCACGACGAGAACGGAAACGGCACCGGTGCGGACCGAGTGTCGCGTCAGGCCCGGCTTCAATGTGGAGTCCACACCCGAAGACCCCAGCGGCCTCCAACGCTATGGCCCGCGGCTGCGGTGGATGCAGATGCCTGAGGACGAGAGAGAAAACCATGCAAAAAAAGGAACACAAACACAGAAAGAGAGAAAGAACACAGGCTTTAGAATGAGAGATGCATGGAACCAAAACAATGGTCTATATGTTTTTTTTGTGTATGTTTTCTTTTTTGTACATGAAGGGGGATGTGATGGGATGGGGAGATGGGTATGTGAGGAAGAGAGAGGATGGACGATGGAGTCAATCACATCACCATGCAAGTTCCCACAAAACGCGGTGAATTGCCAGACAAGGCTCTGAGATGGATGGGCAAGAAGATGTACACAGTCAGTTCTCCTTGCAAAAGAAAAGGTCAGAGAAAAAAAAGGATGGACATGCTGAGACATCCAAAGCCTCGAGCCGCCGAGGATGAACCAGGAGGTGGGGAGTAGGGCGGGGTGACGGTGGCCGACTTCGCTTGGAGCGCCCTCCGCCCTCCGCGGCGAGGACTTCGCGCTGATCCGTGGGAACTTGTCGGCCACCGAGATCCGGCAGCGCGCCGCGGCGGAGCAGAGCCGGGGGGGAAAGCTCACGGCCATCCAAGGCGAGGTAGGGTGGTGTTCGGACGTGAAACGGCCAGAAGAGGACGGAACTGGGTGAAGGCACCACGTGAGGTGTTCATGTTCCTTCAAGGTGTTCAAGATTGTTCAAGTTCTTTTTTTTTGAAACCATGAGTGAAGCCTTTTTGAAACATACGGCCTCCATGGAAGTGGCCTTATGGCACCTTGCAGCCTCGGGATGCCATAGTTTAAACTTTTAAAGACATTGAGAGGAGAGGTGGAAGGAGGTTGAGGGGAAAGGCCAATTGGATGGTAAGACAGCCCGATGTTTGACACGTCTTTCCCAGAAAATTGGTCAGTTTCAGGGAAAATCTACATGCTTATCATGCTTTCACTCTCTCCTGTAGATTTTCCCTTAACCATTTCTGGGATTCTTGCCGGTAGAGTGGTGTAACAAGAAGCTACTAGTATAGGCTATAGGTCTTAGAAGCTTTCTAGTAACTAGGGGCAACTAGGTTGGAGGCCATCGCTACGAGTAACAAGAAGCTACTAGGCCACATGTCTCATTCCTCCGGCCAGGTCTCATTCCACCGGGCGTGGTGTCCTTCATCCGACGCAAGGAGCTCTACTACCGGAAGTGAGGGCGGCCTCCGGTAGAGCTTCCGGTGGTGCGGGGAGACCCAAGACAAACACTCATTTGAAGATGCTTTTCCTTCATGCCTCGCCCTGCACCTGTGCATGGCCCTTCGCTATGGGGCCAAAGCTAGATCCAAACACCAGACGCAAGTCGAACTAGGCCCCACCTGTCACATTTGTCAAGCATGCCTTGAGAATGCGGAGGTAGGGAGTCCGCGCACAAAGGGCGAACCCTTCAAGTCTTTCGTGTCCTTTGGATGCAACGAGCTCTGTCCGACCCCCCCGCTTTTCGAAGATTTTCGTCGCTGGACGTTGGGCCAAACAGCGCGCAGCGCAGCGCCGAGCTTGGGCGCGCGCGGGCCAGCTGCGCGGAAGGGGCGAGCTCGCTGCGGTGGATCGACGCGCGTCGCCGAGTCGCGGAGAACTTGGAGTTGGTTTCATGACAGGGAGTTCATTTTCGCAGAACTTGGAGTTGATGACAGCACCGATTTTAGCGCAGATTCGGGTTGCAGGGCCTTATGATGAACCAAAATTCTTGAATAGACTCAGTAGACCCAACAGGAGCAGCTTTCCTGGTCAGGATCGTTGATGAAGTGGACGTGCCGGACGGATTTCAACGCCTCCAATCACACCGCATTTTTCCAATGTTCTTCATTCTCCGGGTTTGATGACAGTTGAGAGGCACGGTGGGTTTGGATCAGTTGTTGAAACCTCACCTCAGAGGCTTCGTCGGCTTCGCACCACACCTCCACGACCCTTCCTCTTTGACAAAATGGGCCGAGATGGTCTGGCACCCCATTTCTCCGCCAGGCTTTTCGCTGAGCCCTTCTACCGCTTGGCGCACGGAGAGGCCGACCATTTGCCCGGGCTGGTGATTGATCGCGGCTCGGCGGCTTATCAGCTTATCGAGAAGAATCGTAAAGAGCTTGAAGCACCAGAAGCGCCAAAAGCACCAGAAGCAAAGACCACAGCCTCTTCAGACAAGAGATCCTCCCAAGTATTTTGTGGAATCCTCTTGACTCATCACCTTCCCAGAATTCCGAATCCGACCAATCAGAGCTCTGAACTCCATTGAACTGCTCAGCTGTCAGCTCAGCTGTCAGCTCAGAAGCAGCTTTGCTCGGCTTCTGAGGTTATGACGATCATCTTTGTATTCAACCCTTTTCCGGCTTGGACGAGTTGCTGTGGCCCATTGCCGATGCCCTGGACGAGGCGGACCACAAACGGGCGGCCGGGGCTCTGACTGAGTGATCGATGATCGGTTTCTTCCCCTCGAACGGTTGGACTTCAAAACGCCTGTTTTGCTTTCACCGGCGTTGCACGACCTCGTGATGTGCGTCGAAAAGCATGGACTCACACGCGGAAGAGTGTGGACCTATAAGCCTATAATAGAAGACAGATATGATATGATATATATATATATAGACTGTAGAGTCATTCCGATCTTCCCTCAGGGCTACTCCATTCGACCAGGTGACCATCATGGACTCACCGCCATTCTTTCATTGATCGCTGAGCACGCGTGGCCCGTCTCCGCTGCCTTTTGCTTGGGGTGGTGTTGGGCGTAAGGGACCAAGGGGCCAAGCCTCTTTCGCTGTGGTCTTCATGGATTTTCCCCAGCCGACGGGCAACTTGCGGTGCCTTCATGCACGGCGCGCGGCTCGCCCTTGCCCACATTTGGTGTTTGGATGGTCTGGGCTCACCTCCGCTAGCACTCATTCTGCTGGCACTCTGAGGTGCTTGGCGACACTCATGCTAGTTCACCAGCGGCGGGTTGCTCGACGTGTCTGCAAGTCCCACGGCGATGTCTCCACGCACTTGGCCGCCCAGGAGCACTTTGCACACTTCTCTCGTTTGCTGGAAGTGGAACGGAAGTATGAGTTGAAACAGCACTTGGAGCAAAGTGGAAGCTCTCAGAACCAGCCGTTGCGCCCTGTGACCGCCAGAGTTTTAGAAAGAGAGGATGCGCTGATTCGGTTCAGGTTGCCGGACGACACCAAAAGCCAAATTCCGCCACACTTTCAGGAAAGTGTGCACGTCGCAGTGGCTTGGCACGAGTCTGGAGGTCCACTTGGGCAGCAAAATGGTGGCGATGAAGGTGAAGGTCAAAGCAGGCACTTCCCAGAGTTCTTCATCGGTCACATAATTCGTGGAGCGGGGCATGAAGATAGCAGGTTTTTGGATATTAAACTCGACTCGCGGGCATGGCTCACGTGCGAGGAGGGGACACGTGTTCATGACATCATTTGCCATCCGTTGGACATCGTTTCCGATCTCGACCAGTTCAAGTCTTCTCAGCAGTGGCGGATTGATCTATGGTACAGCGAAGTGACCTTTCAGCGCATGAAGCAGAGCATCCGCCAAATGCTCCAGACCTACGAAGAGCGTTTCTCTCGTGCCCAGCGAAAAAAACGCCAGCGAAAGCGACGGAAATCGGGCGAGGAAGTGCTGGACACCATCGCGGCATCTTTTCCGTCAACACAGTCCTTACTGCCACGAGCCTATCAGCTCCAGAGGCAGCCGACGCAGCCCCAGCCGCAGTCCAAGCGCAGACCAGAGCCACGAGGTCCTCGTGGTCGTCGAGAGACGAAGCGGCCAGAAGGCCGCGGACGTAATTTTTTCGGGGACGATCTCAATGAGGCTCAAGGCCATTGCGTTGCTGAAGCCCTGAAGCAACCAATTCTACTGATACAAGGCCCACCTGGCACTGGCAAGACGCGCACCATTTGTCACATGATCCGAGAACTCCTGGACTTCGAGGCCACGCTCCTGACACCTCGCAGGATCCTGGCATGTGCCTACACCAATGCTGCAGCGGATGTTCTATTGAGGTCACTTGCCGACATAGGTGTGAGCGCTTTGAGGCTGGGAGTGCCCTCAGATGTCAATCTGAAGCAGTACACACTGAGCTACGCCATCAAAGAGAACCCTCTCATGAGACAAAAGTTGGATGAGTTGATCTCAGTCGCAAGTACTCTCAAAGAAATCCGCTCCAGTGACGTCTACTCTCATGCGGACGATGGCAATTTGCTCCGCACCTTCACCAATATCAAGGACCAGGTGCAGAAGACCTGTTACTAGAAGCGATGCACTTGTTCCTAGCAACGTCGTTGTTACTACTAGCGTGGCACCTGTTACTACTAGCGTGGCACTTGTTACTACCAGGTGCAGAAGACTCGGACCACGTTGAGGCGATCGACGCTGGACGCCGCGCAGGTCGTGGTGACCACGTGCATCGGCGCCGGCGATCCCCTCCTCGACGGGCTGGCCTTCGGCAGCGTCCTCATCGACGAAGCGTCGCAGGCGACAGAGCCGGCGACCCTGGTGCCACTCATGCGCTGCGCTGGACGATGCATCCTCGTGGGCGACCAGCAGCAACTGCCACCGGTAGTTCACAGCCCCGTTGCGCGGGATGGAGGCCTCGCAGTGTCTCTTTTCTCACGACTCATCCTGAGTGGCTTGCCAGTTCAGATGCTGCGGGTACAGTATCGGATGCACCCGCAGATCATGAACTTCATCTCCCAGCAGTTTTATCAGGGCCATTTGCAGTCCCATGATTCAGTTGCACGAGAATTGCTGCCGGGCTTTGAGTGGGAGAATGGGTGTCCGATTGCAATCCTAGACAGCAGAAAGCTGAAAGGTTCGGGTGAAAGGAAAAGCGGTTTCTCATTCACCAACCGCGAGGAAGCCAAATCACTTGTCCGAACTTTGGAAAACATCATGAAGTCTGGAAGTGTTCCAGCAGCTGACATTGGAGTCTACAGCCCCTATCGCGCACAGGTCAAGCTCCTTCGGCAGCTGATCAGTCGAAGTAAGCTGTGTCAAGCCATCAGGGTGTTGACCGTCGATGCTTCGCAGGGATCAGAGAAAGAGCTGGTCTTGCTCAGCCTAGTGCGCCAAAACAATGAAGGCAATGTGGGCTTCTTGAGCGACTGGCGGCGCCTGAACGTCGCCGTCTCGCGCGCGCGGCGGGGTTTGATGGTTTTCGCGGCCAGGGACATGCTCTGCCAGGATCAATACTGGGCCTCTTTGATTGCTCATGTTGAGTCTGCGGCAATGCCCCAGTAAACGCGCGCAGCCTCAGCCAGAAAGATCGGATCAAGCAGCCTCTATCAAGTCCACTTTTCCAGTCTTTGGATGTCTTTGATCTTGAAATTTACCTTTTTTTCGAATGTCCACTGTCACAGACTGTCACAGACGAACGTGCGACTATCCCGTCTTGGGCGATCGCCCCCACCGGGAGACATCCTCACCACGCCGACCTCCCTTGCAGGTCCTGAAGCCCAAAGTGGTGATCATCCGCCAGGCCCCGGCGCCTTCGCATCCGAGGGCCGCGGTTGGGCGGCTGGGAGCTCGTTCCGCTCACCCGAGCTCGGAACCCGAAAACGCCCACGTCAGTCAGGTGTTTCGTTCTGGGGGGTTTACCTTTGTGCATCTTTTTTGTGCAAGGTTTTCCCGCGGTCTTTTTCCTCCACCCAAACCCGGGCCGTCGGGCAGTCGACGAATGGGCCAGTTCTGCCAGTTCCAGTCGTCCGTGGAACGGAGAAACCTCGAGGAACGGAGAAATCGATCGATGCTTTCTGCCCGGTCGGGGTCTTTTCCACATCCTGCCAGTTGAAGCCATGTCCACTTGATTTGAATCTCCTGAAATCATCACCTTGTGAAGGAGGAACATGGTCATCCTGTTGGTGCCATGCCATCATATGTCATCCACTAACATCATGACCATGATTCTTTCCGAGAAAGTCCGGAAGAAGAAGAACAAGAGCACCTGAAACCTCCTGCGCTCGCACACCGGGCTGGAATCGCCGCACCTCGTGGCGCCGTGCTGTGCCGCACATCGAATCGGGCGTCGCTTCTGCGGAGCGACGCAGGACACGCCGGGCCGACGCAGGGAGTGGGAGCGCTCAGTGGTAAAGACGTACTTGTTACTAGTTACTAGTAGCTTCTTGTTACTACTAGTAAGGCACTTGTTACTACTAGCGATGCACTTGTTCCTAGTAGCTTCTTGTTACTACTGGTGAAGACGAGTGTGAAGCCGTGAGTCTGCCGACCCTGGCGAGTGATCGGCCGACCTGACGGCATCGGCCTCAGGAAAGCTGCCCTGAAACGAGAAGTTCTGAAAGGCTCCTACCAGGACCGGGGGGGAAGGGAGGGGGGAAAGAGAGGGGGAAAGAGCTAGGGCCGCTAGGGTCCCACATTTGTTACCATGGAGATTGTTCATGTTTTGATTATGATTAGGTTTGTCATGATTTTTCAATCTAATTGCTCAGTTCATTTGGATCCTCGAACATGCAAGATGTTGTCCTTTAAGAAACGCCGGTCATGACGATTCTGTTCAGCTATCAAGTGGGAATTTTGAGAAGTCAAGCGCCAGCATATATTAATATATGGTTGCGAATATATTTCTGGATTTTTTTTCGTTTTTTTTTGGAACTTTTTTTGTTTTTCGTGCTTCGTGGCAGGTGCAGTACTTTGTGGACCTTGCAAAGCACATTTCGTGGCAGGTGCAGGACTTTGTGGGCCTTGGAGTGCAGAGTTTGTGGCAGGCGCAGGACTTTTTGTGGGCCTTGAAGTGCAGATTTCGTGGCAGGTGTAGTACTTCGTGGCCCTTGGAGTGCAGATTTTGTGGCAGGCGCAGGACTTTGTGGACCTTGAAGTGCAGATTTCGTGGCAGATGCAGGACTTTGTGTGTGTGGAAGTGTAGAGTCGAGTTGGTGGCAGGTGCAGGACTTTGTGGGCCTTGGAGTGCAGATTTCGTGGCAGGCGCAAGACTTTGTGGACCTTGAAGTGCAGATTCGTGGCAGGTGCAGTACTTTGTGGATGTTGAACTGCAGAAAGATAGAAAGATA